GAATGTCACCTTATTTGGAAAAAAATCTTTGCAAATATAATTAAGAATCGGAAAATCTCTTGAGATGAGACCATCCTAGATTAGGGAGTGCCCTAAACCTAATGACAGATGAGCTTGTACGAGACAGAAATGAGGAGGAGACACCAGAGAGAAGGCCATGTGGATACAGAGGAAGAAATTGGAGTTATATAGTCACAGGCCAAGGAACACCTGGGAGCCATCAGAAGAGGCATGGAAGGATTATTTCATAGGGCATTAGGAGGGGGCGACCCTGCTGACACCAGTGTGAGGTTGTGGGATGAATCTGCCTTCCCCTTAAGGAGTTTATATTCTAGTTGATAACACAAGGCTCAAATATATTTTTTTAATGTCATGTTATTACATAAGTTAACTGTGAGGACAGACACAAGGCACACAAAAATAAACCAACAAAGCTGAGGAAATGTAAGGCCATAAACCCAGAGGAAGGAGTAGTGGGGTGGAATGGAGAGGTTGCCACGGGCTTATGGAAGCAGAGCCCGACCGAGAGTGGGCGGTGGGAGTGGTCTGCCCAGAGCAGACGGGAAGGGGTGCGTCGGCTACAGGGAATTTAAAAATATAATTAAAACCAACTATATATCAGTCTGCTTTTTATTTTAGAGGAAGGAGTAGTGGGGTGGAATGGAGAGGTTGCCACGGGCTTATGGAAGCAGAGCCCGACCGAGAGTGGGAGGTGGGAGTGGTCTGCCCAGAGCAGACGGGAAGGGGTGCATCGGCTACAGGGAATTTAAAAATATAATTAAAACCAACTATATATCAGTCTGCTTTTTATTTTTTATCACCAAGGGCCAACAATTTGAAACAATGTTAGTGATAAAATGTTCCTCTGCACTAATCTTTCATTGATTTAAGTTTTAAACCATTGCTGCAATACTGCTGAGTTTTAATACTATTTATGTAAATATCAAATTGGCACATTTTTATTACTTAGACTTTAATAAATGTTGTATTCTACATAGAAGTTAATTCGAGTTACACAGTTGGCCCCTGACATGTACAGGCTCAATTAGTGCTTGTAAGTGTATAAAGGTCGGGAATTACTTTTAAGTCACATTGGGTGCTGTTCATGTCTCTGACTCTTATGTTGCTTATGTCTCCACGTGTAAATAATAGATTCATAAGAATCCATGATCACACATGCATTCTAAAGACAAAGAAACAACTTGAGTTATATCAGTTCTATCACTCTATGCAACCACTTTGAATTTTTATTTGTGATTGAATTTTGAAACAGTGAAAAAGAGTGCAAATTGCAAGGGGTACTATTCTTGTTAGATAAATACATATTTTACACATAAAATATTTTACTAAATTTGAATATCTTTAAAATTGAAATGGATTCTTTTAAAATTGTTAATTGTTTGAAAACTAAAGAATAAATCAAGAAAATATGATTATTACTAGTTATCAAATAGTTATTTCTGAAAATAATTTTATTACATTGGAGGAAGATTAAAAAGTGATCTTCTCTGGGTGTCAAATTTGGGAAGGAAGGAACTGAGGGTGAGGAAGGACAGGAAGTGGAATGAGAGTAATGGCAGGTCTCATGTTCATTCCTCCAAATTTAAATCTGTTGCTTAAAATTGTCCTGGTCAATTTGAACATTATTTTAACAAAAAATTTCACAGCAAACAAGGAGGTTATATAAATAATTAGGGTGACCATATATCCTGGTTTGCCTAGGACAGCTCCAGTTCAACCTGTGGCCCAATGTCATAGTTAATAAAACTCCCTTTCACTCTAAAAAGTGTCCCATTGGTCACACTTCAGATGAGGGGCAGGTTGTGCCCATGAGGAACAAAGTTTAGAAACTGAAAATATTGTTTTCAGTTCTAAATAAATGAACATTAAGGATCACCTATTAGCAAGAACGGCAATTGACAACTCTACTGTCAATTGTGAGTTATAAATATTGAATAACCAGTGAACAGTGAAGCGAGATTATGAGTCTATTCAAATGGCAATAAATTGTAACTCTTTTCAGTGGCTGGACTTGCAGATGAATCGTTTAGAAGGAAAGCAGTGGTGTGGATCATCAAGCTTCTATTTCTTTGCTTGACAGTTTTGGAAGGAATGCCAGAGTGATGATACACAATCTAGACAGAAGAGAGGTTTGGGAGTGAAATCTGAAAATTGTCAGAGCTGGAGTCAAATCGGGGAGAATGGAAGGGGAGACCATGTGAGGTGCTAAAGGAGGCAGAGAAGTCCATGTGGTGGAGAGCGGGGGTGAAGGCAGCTGGAGGTCAGGAGAGAAGTGGCTGACTGTTGATAGAATAAATCTATATAGCCTGAATTTAAAATAAAAAGCACAATATGAATTAGATAGCAGATAGTAACAGAATGATGTAAGCCATGGCAGAATTTTTTCCCCAGGGGAGTAGTGAATGAAACAATAATTGTGCCAATTTCTTCCATGTTTCTTTGTCTTAATGCATGCCCTTTTTTGGATTAGGACCGCCCATCCTAACTCATTCACTGAACAAATGCTGAGCTGTGTTTTAGTGTAGTTTGGTGGTTTTTAAGCGTGAACTTTGGAAGCAGAATACCTGGGTTCAAATCCCAGCACTATCACTTTCTGGCTGTGTGATCCTAGGCCGGTCAACCACTGTACCTCAGTCTGGTCGTCCAAAAGGGCAAACCATGATGTTGCTTACTCTGTGGGGTGGTTCTAAAGATGAAATGAGTTAAATGTTTAGTATTTAGAAGTATTTAGAATGAAACCTGCTGCCTGATAAGTACTGCATAAATGTTAGCAATAAATGTTAGCATTATTTAATATTAGGTCGAGAAATGACTTCTTGGGAATGCTTCCTGACCCCACTTCTAGGCTATCATAGCTCATTCTCCCATAAGGTCCTATGCAAAACATGACCTACACTGTAATTATTTATTTTACTCTCCCATCCAGCTTAAACTCCTGCCACTAAAGATTGAGTCTTACAGATTCATACATCCCACTGTCTAGCAGAGTTCTTCATAATAGTAGGTGCTCAATAATTACTAATTGGATGGGTAAATGAATGAATTCTGGCAGTTCATCTCTGCAGGTCTCAATCTTTGAAAGGGGTAATACACATAGGGAACATACTAAGCCAACTTTTGAGGTAGAGGGCTCTGAAAGAGGAATTTACCCCTCAGCCACTGAAACCTGGTTTTTGCTCTCAATATGACTAGACCAGAGGAGTGAACCTTGGCATCATCCTACTTGTGAAGACCAGTAGACAGTTTTCAATTTTTATCTTCTTTATCATTTGTAGCCTTTTATTGGAAACTCCTAACTTGGCTCTCGTGACCCTATTTTTTCCTCCTACTTAACTGGCTGCTGATTTTCAATCTACTTTGTGGGTTTCCCTTTTTCAACCTGTCCCTTAAATGTTCATGTTCCTCAGAGTTCTGTCTTTGTTCCTTTTTAATTCTGACTTGACACACTTTCTGAGAAAAGTCTCATTTCTTCCTGTTACTCCTGCTGATTCCCAAATTTCTACCTCTAGCCTGGACTATTGCCTGAGTTGCAGACCTGCCTGCTTGGTATGTCTACCTAGATCTTAAACTCAGTGTGAGCTAAACATAAAACCAGACCTATTTCACCTCTACTCCCAGCCCTCCCATTCTTATGAATGACACCATTACTCCCTCTGTTAATGGAGTCAAAAACTTGGGAATTATTATAGACAGCTCTCCCTTTTTTTCCTGTACAACCTGGGCTAGCTCTAACTGTTTGGCTTCCTAAAGATCTCTTGACTCCATCCCACCTTCTCTAGATCCTTGCTGCCATTGTCTTAGTTCCACCTTCAGCATACCTTTCTTGAGCTATTCAAAGAGTCTTCCTATGAGGGTCCTACAGAATTCACTGGATCTGCATGATTTTTCAATTTAATTTCTTGGCTTGAGGTTTCTAATCAAATGAGTAATTCAAATTCTGGTGCCTCACCTACATAGCATAGGCTTTAGGTCCCCATCTTTCAGTGACTCAATTTCTTTTAATTTATTTATTTTTTCTTTTTGTCTTTTTTTTACTGACCGGTAACGGGATCGCAACCCTCGGTGTCGCGCCCGCACCGCGCTCAACCAGCAAGCGGGAACCAGTCTCCACATGGGATCCAAACCCTCGGCGGGAGCGCCGCCGCGCTCCCACGCAGCGCACTCTCCAGTGCGCCACTGGGCCGGCCCAGTGACTCAATTTCTATACATAGCCAAGGGCAGGCTACCAGAAATGATTTTTCTTCATTATTATAACTTCCTTTTGGCTCCCAGCCCTATGAAAGGGACCCTTTCCACCTTACAACCAGGTACTGTGCCTGCAGAAAGGAACGTGTCCAACCTCTTTTCCCTGTGAGCTGCAGGACTGCAGCTCTGGCTCATAGTTATAACTACTGGTTGCTTCTTTATTTCTGGCAGCTAGAGGTTTTCCTTCCTTAGTTTTGAGTCTGGCTATGTATCTATAATGTAAAAAAAAAGTTTATCCAGAAAGTCCATGTGTTTGGAGACAGAGGGAATATTGCTACCTCTTTTCAGTCTGCCACCCTGATGGTAAGTCTGCTGTTAAAAGATCATTTCAAAAGATGGTGTTGGAGGGGAAAATATCTTTTTCCTCTGTCCTTCTAAATTCTTTTCTGGGACCCCCGTAACAAAAGACAGATGAACAAGAGAGAATCATACAAATGTACTTAATATAAATTTTACATGACACAGGAGCTTTCATAAGGAAATGAAGACCCCAAGAAGTGGATATACCTGAGTGTTTTTACCCTAGGTTTGATGAAAAGGAGAGAGTCATGGAGAAATATAAGACAAAGGGCTATGAGGTAAGTAGCAAGAGAGAAGCATACAAATGTACTTAATATAAATTTTACATGACACAGGAGCTTTCATAAGGAAATGAAGACCCCAAGAAGTGCATATACCTGAGTGTTTTTACCCTAGGTTTGATGAAAAGGAGAGAGTCATGGAGAAATATAAGACAAAGGGCTATGAGGTAAGTAATAAAGTGGGGGAAACTTAGCAAGGCATGTTCAGATTTCTCTTTGCATCTCTTCGTCTTCAGAGACAAAGAGGTTTCTTTCCTCCAGGAATAGAAAGCGCATCTCTCACGTGAGGTTTTATGACCTGCTTCAGGGGAAGGTCAGAAAGCCCTTCCTGAACATACTGTTTCTCAAATTCCTTCAGCTTCAAATATTCAATATGCCAAGTTGCCATATTGCAGAGTAACATGTCCTGACCTCCACCCAGGGCAAAATCACAGTTCTCGTGCACGTCTAAAACTGAAAGATTTTATTTAATTTATGTTAATATTTAACATATTAAAGATTTTATTTACCTTTCCTCCAGGAACAGAAAGCGCATCTCTCACGTGAGGTTTTATGACCTGCTTCAGGGGAAGGTCAGAAAGCCCTTCCTGAACATACTGTTTCTCAAATTCCTTCATCTTCAAATATTCAATATGCCAAGTTGCCATATTGCAGAGTAACATGTCCTGACCTCCACCCAGGGCAAAATCACAGTTCTCGTGCACATCTAAAACTGAAAGATTTTATTTAATTTATGTTAATATTTAACATATTAAAGATTTTATTTAACTCATTAATGAGAAAACCAGCAAAGTTGTTATGACCACCTCAAAGACCCAGAAAAACAGACACATCGACAAATCAGGAATATCGAAATAAATACACAAGTGGACGTGAAACTGACTTCTTCCTCAGTGGGAGAGGAAAGTCAGTTGAACCTGTACTAGACAGGACAGTGTTTGTGTGTCTGCAGGTAAGGATTATTTTGCATTTCTATCAGTTATCTACAGTTTGCAGAGCTGTAAAATAGCTCAAAGGCAATGAACAGACCCAGATAACCAAGAAGAATGTGCTGGATGTAGCAATGCATTGTCTTCCAGCAAAGCACAATTTTCCCAACACTACACTGTCATCATTTGTTTTAAGTTTGTTTTTCCTACAAGACCGGCAAGTTTCTCTTGGGAATAGGGGCTGTGTTCAAGTCACTGTCCTACACTCAGGCCCTAGAATGACGTATGTTACTTGCAAATGTCTCATTAATTCCATATGGAATGAATGAATATATGAATGTCTTTCATAGAAACTGAAGGCTTTTCTCCCTATTCTTGAAGAGGGAGAGATCTGGGGGAAAAAAGAGAGAGTGTGTGTGCGAAGTGTGTGTGTGCGTGCATACATATACACAGAGTGTGTGTGTGTATACATTTATATATATATCTCACCCAGAAAAGGAACTGAGAAGCTTCTGTACCACCCCCCCCCCTTCTGCTAACTCCAGGCACTGGGCTTACTACTGAGTGCCCATTGTCACCGTGTCATCTGAACATCACTGTTGGAAGTGAACAGCAAATAAAAGAACTTTCTTTTCAAACTGTCAACCAGGTTTAATTTCTTAAGGTGTATTTCTGAAGTATCTTTATTTTGATGAATAATGCTATTTCTCCTCCTGGAATACAGTGAAGAAAATTTCTTAATTGCTGTCTTTTCAGATGCTTGTGCATCTGAATTGCTTAATGGCTGCTGCCCCTTAGGTCCTGCCTTATAAGGGGGATCTTCGGGGACTTGCCAGCAACACCATCAGTCAGGTAATTTGCATGAACAGTTCTTTAATAAATTCAACTGCAAAATCAATTTAATCATTGAAATAGTAGCTCCCATTTTACCAATTTAAGAGCTCAATTGTTTCTTCCTTTTTTGCCCAACAAATCTGAGCTGAAACAGTAGTCCGAATTGGAATAGATCATCTAATAAAAAAGTTTGGAATATTTCAAAACTCTAAAAATCTCATAGATTAATGCTAAATCAGTAATTTTCATACCTGGTTGCACATTACCACCACCTAGGAAGGCTTTAAAACATGCTTATGAAATGGTCCCATCAGAAGATATTCTGATTTAGTAACCCTCGTTCTTATGAGATTTGAGTGATTGTATGAACTAGTACATGAAATTTGACTTTTGCAAATAAAACCCCTTATATAAAATTAAAAAAAAAACCAAACCAAAAACAACAACAACAACAAAAACAAAGGTATTCTGATTTAACTAGTTTGGGATGAGGTCTGGGAGCAGGTAATTTTCAAAAGCTCACTAGGTAATTTTAATGTCCAATGAGGGTTGAAAACCTCTGTAGAAATTTTGCTCTGTAGCATTCTTATAAACAATAATAAATTATTTTTTTCTTATTATTGGATGACTGAGTTGTCACCCAGATTTTAGGGTGGTCCCTAAAAAATATTTCAAGATTTTCTTTTTAGAAAAATAGAACTATATCTTTCGTGTTTGAGCATTATCATATGGTTGTCTGGACTTAATCATGGTGGCCCGAGTTTGCTAGATGTATAATTTCTGTCATGTAAGAATCAAAAGCATTGATTCTCACTCAATTTATATTATTTAGGAATAATGATCTTAAATTTGCATATTGCACTGAAAACAGGGTTCAACTCACATGATTTCAGTAAATTAAGAGGGAGCTACTTCTTACCCAAGATACTCTCCTTTGTGTACACATCCTGTGCTTCCTTCAGGGAACATCCTTCGACTTCATTCACACTTCCAAAGCATTCTTGTCCTTTTCTCTTTCATGTCTACTCCACACATCACAACCCCTCCTCCCCCAATTCTCCCACTTACCTGGCCAACAGCACCTCATTTCCCAGTTCCTGGCTGTGAGCTTACCTTCCCTGAGTAACCTTACCTGACTGCCCCCCTCCCCACCCCACTGGGTTCTGCCTCTGCTTCTGTGCTCCCAGAGCCTGTTTTCTGTCCCAATTACCCTGAGTCACTCTGGCCACTCTCCTTACTTGACTCTCCCACTAGAAAGAAAGCCCCTTGAGGACAGGGGCTGTGTTCTTTTCACTATCATAGTTTTGGTGATTGGCACACAGTAATAATACAACAATAATAATACTAATTACAGCTAATTAGTATTGCTTACTGCATGACAGTCACTGTCCTAAGTACTTTGTATTATATATTTATACAAGTCTCATAAACAACCCTATGTGGTAGTTATTGCTATTATTCCCATTTTTAAATACGATAAAATTAGGCAAGAAAAGAAATTCATTAAATTGAGTATTAAGGTCATACAGCTAACAAAGGGAGTTCCTGAGATTTGAATGCAGGCAGTCTGGCTCCAGAGTCCATGAGTTCTCAATAGATATTGTTGGATAAATATCTATATGTGAGGGAGCATAGGGTCACAGGGGCCTAGGGGCATGGTGGCTGGCTCTCACTTTGGGGTGCTCCAGGGATTATACTGAAATTTAGGGACAGTGATGGACACAACTTCCCAAAAAGGAAATTTTGTGTGTTTATGTTTGTGTGTGTGTGTGTATGTGAGAAAGAGGGTCAGAGAGGGAGAGAGAGAGAGAAATACATTGGCAGAAGCTTAAACACACAGATAGATGCAAAATTATGACAAATTGGTCAATGGCATGTTTGGGATGGGCTTAGAGGTCACATCAGAAAAGTGAAAGTGCAGTACTGTGTCATTGAGTTTTTTAACCATTTTGTCTATTACATAAGAAGAGAGGGCAAGAAGTAGTGTCAGAATCTACCTGTAGCTTAATCAGACCATTTGAAAGTCCCTAGGTGACATGGCCTGAGGAAAAGGATCTGAGAGTTATTAAGTCTCAGAGTCATTTATATTGCCAGTGGAGTAAACATAAAAGCAGGTAGAATTCTTTATTTCAGACCCTATTGGGGACTGTCTGGAGTGAACCTTTGCATTAGTTTTGTATTGCTGCTGTAACAAATGACCCAAAGTTTGGCAAATTAAGCCAACAGACATGGATATCTTACAGTTTGGAAAGACAGAAGTCTGAAATGGGTTTCTTTGGGCTAATATAAAGGGGTAAGCAGGGCTATGTTCCTCCTGGAGGCTCTAGGAGAGTTTATTCCCTTGCCTTTTCCAGCATTTCTTGGTTTGTGGCCCCTTCTTACATCTTCAAGGCCGGTGTCTTCAAATCTTTTGTAACGTCTTCAGATCTCTCTCTCTCTCTCTCACTGACCCCTTTGCTTCCCTCTTATAATGACCCTTGGGATTACATTGGGCCCATCTGGATAATCCAAGGTAATCTCCTCATCTCAGAATCCTTAACTCAATCACATTCACAAAGTCCTTTTTGCCATGTAAGGTAACACATGCACAGCTCCAGGGACATCTTTGGGAACCATTACTATATACACTAGAACCTTCCATCAGAAATCTCTAAGAAAAGTATGTCTGACCAACGGACACCCCATACATTGTTTCTCTCTGGGGGTACTGTAAAAAATAAAACCGCAGACTCAGAATTTTTTTCAAACTTAGAATTGAAAAGGAAACTACTCTTTATAAGAATTGTGTTGCAGGAAGAATGGAAGGGAGTCTTCCTCAGCCACAGGCTGGAAAATACATTTCAATTGCATAACACATCGAAATTACTGGCCTTCTATATATGAGAACGTGTAGGGCCCTCTCTGAGTGTTGGCCTGTGGTCAGCAGAGAGGACAACCTCGAGATGCTCAGGAGAAACAAGACCATTTGACCCTGAGCAGAAGAGGTGAAGGTAGATTTTGTAGTCATAAATTAGAAAGCTTCAAAAGGATACTTGAAAAGAGAGCCAATTTTAGATCTTTAAACAGGATCACAATGTTTTCATAGTAAAACATTGAAGATCTCTCCTTTGCTAGAGATTTTTGTTTTCCTTTTAACTGTCTTGACCTGTAGCCCTGTCTTAATATGCTAGACTCATGAAGAGTTACATATTAGCTGATTCTTATTTTTTTAGTTGAGAAATGACCTCTGGTCTAGGCTGAAAAGACTCTTCATAATTTCCACTTCACGTCCAAGCCTGCAATACTCTGTCGATGTCCGTCCCACTGGAGGAGGCCCTGGGTGAGTGAAGGAGAAAGGCTTACGTAGGATGCTTTCCTTTGCACTCAGCGGTATCTCTAGAGAAGTTTGACAGGTTTCCCTTTGCCCTTTATGTTTCTGAAATTTTTCTCTGTTGAGGCATGAAGAACACCTAATGGACAAGGGGCAAGGCCACAAGCGGTGTGCTTTCATTTTTCCTGTACCTGAGATTTCTGTGACACGTGCTCCCTTAAGAGTCTTTGATAATCCTTTTTTACCCTCACTTTGTCAGACTTAAAAAGGCAGCCTCTGCAGCAGGTTAAAAATGAGAGAAGGGCTATGAGGATAGAGCCCATGCACCAATCCATGGTCTGTTACGGACTGGGTTGTGTCCCCCGCAAATTCATATGTTGAAGCCTAACTTACCTTAGAATGTGACTGTATTTGGAGACAGGACCTTTAAAGAGGTAATTAAGGTTAAATGGGGTCATAAGTGTAGGGCCCTAATCCAATAAGACTGGTGTCCTAACAAGAAGAGGAAGAGACACCAGGGAAGTATGTGCACATGGGAAGGGTTATGTGAGGACACTGCTACAGGACAGTCATTCATTTGCAAGTCAAGGAGAGAGGCCTCAGAAGAAACCAATCCTGCCAGCACCTTGGCTTTGGACTTCCAGCCTCCTGAACTGTGAGAAAATAAATTTCTGTTTGTTTAAGCCACCAAGTCTGTTGAATTTATTATGGCAGCTGGAGCAAACTAAAACAATCTTTTCTTTCTTCTGTCATGGGGGCCTGGAAACACTCCAGAGGGTGCTGTCCCAGTCCAACATCAGTACAACATGGACCCAGTGGTGGGTCCATGATGAACATGGATCATGAGCAAACCATAACCTTATGGCTTTAGAACACTGAGATTTGGGGGCTGCATAGGCTAGCTGCTGGCTGTGGTTTTTTGTTGTTGTTTGTCTTACAAATGAGAAAACAAAGCAGATAGTTCAGGTGACTTGCTGAGGTCTCCGGTCCTCTGGACTGAAGTCGTCACAGTACCATGTTGCTTCCACACCAGCTGTCATATACATGTTTGGTAATTTCAGAATTTGAGTTCAGGGAAGAAACCTAGTGATAGAAAGGAAATATGTGTGTTATGGAGAGAATAACAGTCAGGTTGCCAGCATCTGAAAGATAACTTAGAATAAGAGAGCAGAGAGCAGGTAATTTAGGAAGTCAGGAAAACAACTACAACATCTGTTTTTTGTTTTGTTCTGTTTTGTTTTTAAATTTTCAAACAGGAAGTAATGTGGTTTATGGTCATGGAGTTAGATCAGGCTTGGATTCAAATGCTCAGTGTTCTGTGTGATGCTAGGCATGCACCTAACCTCTCGGAGTTTTAATTTCTTCCTCTTTAAAATGGTGATTAAAATAGTCTCATAGGCTTGTGGGGAGAATTTAGTAATATAATCAATGTAAGATGCATGACAGAGGCAGATGCTCCATAATTTCCAGGCCCCCTTCCCTAACATCATGGATGCTTAACAAGAGAACTCCAGGGTTAAGTAATGCTTTTTTTGCAAACTTGGTTTTAAAAAGGTCTCTGCTGCAGTTCTAGAATTCTGAATGGAAGGGCATGAAGGTGATTGCCCTTGAGTTTTTTCCTGCTGAGAATAAAGTCATTATAAATTACAGCACTTTCTTTAAGTAGAGGCAAACAAACACTAGTGCTTTAAAAGGCACAAAATGCCCT